ATTTATCAAGCAGGCAGATAGACAAACACATGCAGATGGAGACAGAGAGAGATAGAGGTGGGTGGCGGTGGGGGCTGAAGGAAGTTCCTGACAACATTGCCCAACTGTTCCGGCTCTGTGTCTAACAGTTGGAAGGGAGGAGGGTGATTGTACATTACAACAGGGCTTTCTGTGTCTTTCTCATAAGAAGAAGGTGCAATACACAACTTATGGGAACAAGAAAAGGATGAGCCAATCAGCTGTTATTGGTGAGAGGTTAAGAAGTCTCAGTTCCACAATGACTGCTGAAGATTAGTAAAGTACAGATGAGGAGAACATGTTGCATTGCGGCCTCTCTAATGTGATCAAAACAAATAACACACTCACTGATTCATTATCACTCATCAGGACTCTAAGAAGACACAAATAAGTTATCAATGTGTCTTTTCTTCTGAAAGCTAAACATAGGAAGTGTTGCTCTAAAATGTCTCCGGTAGCTATTTCTCTGTATTCTATGTTTGTGATGACTCAGTGTTGATCTAAGACAGTCAAATGAACGCGTGGGGGGGGGGTGACTCAGTCCATGCAAATATCCAACTCTGTATTTGACTCTAAAGACAGTTTGCATGATTAGTCCTTCCCTATAGGCAGCGACATTATAGTCAATAAACAATAGCAGCATGAACGATAGGACAAAACAGATCACTGTAGTATGTAGATACAACTGCCTCAAATGTATAGGCCTACTCGTATTTAATAGTTAAAGGAATACTTTGACATTTTGGGAAATAGGCTCATCTTCCTTAGAGTTATATGAGATAATAGGTATCACTCTCTTGTCTGTCCACAAAATGCAGCAGCTATTTAGGTTAGCGTAGCATAAAGACCCGAAACATGGGAAAATAGCAAGCTAGCCTTTCTTGACAACAAGACTTTCTGAAGTTTTTTCATCACTGTTACAATGTTACTGTCAAGGGAGTCATTGTGTCTGGCCAACAAATAGTGTGGCACAGAACCTTTCATAGGACCGCAACTTTTTATTTACACTTTGGTTTTTGCACAGATTAAACAAACAAGATATGATGTGAAAACTTTGGGGCCAGGCTAGCTGCTAACCGTTACCAATGTTTAGGCTAACTGGCTGCTGGCTATAGCGTTTTTTCCCCAGACATATGAGAATGGTATCAATCTTATCATCTAATTCTCGACAAGAAAGCAAATACGTGCATTTCCTTTAATGTCAAACTATTTATTACTTCCTGCCATATGTGACTTATTTTGTCCACTAAGGGGCAGGGGAAACAACTGCTGAACATAATGCTGACATATCATCACCTTTTAGGTATATCGCAAACTTGTTAGCTAATAGTTCTTTTATTTAGGGCAGACATAAACCTAAAGATCTGTTTAAATTGTCCAACTGGTCTGACTTGCGTTTACAAAGGTAAAACTCACTTGGTTCAGAATTTGTAAACAAAAGCCATGTGGTTGAAATGGCTTTCAATTATTGGTGATACAGTCAGCAGGTAAAAATAAAAAACCCTCCGAATACTTACATACCACAGTACTTTAAAGTACCGTTGACACTGTTCTTTTTACTTTCACACAACACTGCTCAACAGTTAGCTAAAATCCATTCTTCATCATTGTGTCGCTAAATTGTTAGAATACCTCAATGTTCTAATGTGCCTTCTCTAGTTATTGAGAAATGTTCTCTTCTGCCCAAATATTCAGGAGGCATCTCACTTCCTCGTGGGTCCAGGTTTGTTCCCGGCTTGTCGAAATTTTGGTAGAAAACACAGCATGAGAAAACATTTTTTAACCAATTAAACAGTGATTATTGTTTAGCTGGCCTGAGCAGCTAAACAATAAGCTGAAACTGACAATAATGTAGTTCTTCAAGGCAGAAGGGAACTTCAGATTCAGGTGATTAATTCTCTGTTGATTCATAACTACGGGTGACCTCTTCAACATTGTTCCTTTGTTTTTACATTGACATTTGATATATTCTTAATCTAAAAATGCCAATTATAGCCTCAATCTCAACTGCAAGCAATACAAAAATAGATTCTATGTTTAGTTTTCATTCAGTAATGACCTATCACCTGTCCAACTGAATAAAGGCTTACGTAGAAGATGACCTTTAGAAGAAGTCCAAATTTGGAGCAGCAGAACTGCATTGCTGCATTTTAGGATGTTCATAACACAAGCTGACATGCATGAGTTTGATGTGGCATGTGGTTCTCAGAATGAGAGGGGAAATAATGTTATTCTCAGAAATTACCTGTGGTCTCTGACACACCATAATCTCTTCAGCGAAATTGTATGTTGTCTGAGAACTTGCAAAAGAAAGCCTGAATAAGATCAAGACTGGCTCTACAGTTTAAATTCATTCTTGAGATGACATTTTATTTTTGGGGCTGGTTTCCTTTGATAACCACTGACTGTTATTATCTGATACAAAAATGCATACAGTGAGTTGCATGGAGCCACTGCAGGACTTTGTCTGAAACTGAAACAGTTGACAAGTAATTAAAACATTTGCACTGAATACCTTTAGTTGTCTATTATAACAAGTGCACAAAGAGAAATAATTTCTGGCCACTTCTGTTATAACGAGACTAAGAGTATACAGCAGTGCATTGAGCTAAATGCTAACGTTGCGATGCTCAAACTGTAAATCCTACCATGCTGATGTTTACCAGGAAATGTTTACCATGATGTCATTAGTTTTGCAGGTATTTAGTCATAAACCAAATTGATATGAAAAACAAACTTAGTTGAGAGATCCCTAAATTTATTGCAATTCTTCCTGAAGGAGACGTGAATGCCTGTGCCAAATTTCATGACAAACCTAATAGTTGTCAAGACATTTCACTCAAAACCACAAACATCAACCTCATGGTGGTGCTCTAGGGAAAGTCGGGGGATTACCAAAGTTGGTATATGATCCTATGGGGACCATGAATGTCTGTTCAAAATGTCACGGCAATTCAACCAATACTTGTGTTGGACAAAAGTGGTTTACCAACATGATAATGCTCTCCGTAGAGCCACACTGCTAGCATGGCTAAAAAGTGTCCTTAAACCCAATCACCTTTTAAATTGATGCGTTAGAAACTGATACTGAGCACCATTCACATTCATTTGTAGTCCAATTCCCCGACTCCTAGGTTGGTGAATTTTTTAAGTTTCACCGAAAACAAACAATAAGAACAGTGAGAATGAACCAAAAAAATAAAGGTTGCAGGCTGTAAAACTAAAATAATGAGCTGAAAGATGCTAGCATTTTGTTTTCCATTTGCATCCCTTTGTTGTATTTCCTATCCACTTAAATAGCAGCCGTAAAGGTACTAACTGGGGTTGATGGAAGCAGCAGAGTTTCCAGCCTCCATGTAATTTACTGTTGTGTAAATCTTCATTTCACAGTAGGTGGGTTCCAAGCGGAGCTGTCTTGAGGAAGATTAGCAGTGAGGCCAAAAGTCCCACGGGAGCATCACAACTGATTAAACCTACAACTCTTATCTATCCAAGAAAGCAGATCCCTGATTGGCCTCTGCCTGCTGGTCACTATCACCGCTCAAAGGTCTAGATTAACCCACAAGAGCATCTGCAGTTTGTTAGTGGGATTAAAGCCACATTCCAGCTGTGAATTAGCAGAGGGTGATTACTGTATGGCTTATAATTGATTGGAGCAGTGGTGGAAGAAGGTATTACTTTATTACAATGTAAAAGTTTTTACAAAGCAACTTTTTTTTTTTTTTACACCAGAAAAAGTAAATCTGGCATTTAAACTTTTTAATTCAGTAATAATACAGAGTATTATCAGCAAAATGTACTTTCAATATCAAAATTAAAAGTACTTTTTATGTATTATTTTATTAGATTAATATTACATATGCATAAATGTGCAAACAGGATTTTAATGTAGTTGGACAAGCTATTTTAACTACATTATGTTTACTTGCCAGCAGGGCCAAGAGGACAACTGCTATGGGGCCCAACATAGTCATGTTATAGTAATGTACTGTTGGTGCACACAAAGCACATCATTTCAAGGTGAAACTAAAATGTCATAGGTATCAGAGTGAAAAACCATAAGTGTGCCAGGACATCATTTTTTTTTTACCAAATTAAAATTTTATACTTGGTTAAAAAAGTTATATCAAGTAAGGTGGGTCCTGTATTATTACTCAATCTTTTTGGCCCTTCTTGTAGCAGGGACGTGCCAAAATCTAGTTTTAAGACTGCTCACAGGGGGCCAGGGTGTACTTCAGCTGCAGATTGGTTGATCTCTGGGTCAATTCAGCCACACTGTTGGGTTATTTTAACCCATAATAATAAACCATATTGTTTAGATAATCATGTTTTGAATATAAAAATTAAATAAAGCTGTCATACTTTGTGCCTGATATGTCTAATTTTGGTTCATAGGATAAATGTGTAATGTCCTCTGTTCCTGCATGTGTAAATACTTTTATTCTGCCATGTCAGATCAACTTGACAAAATCCATCTCCTATCAGGATAATAACTCCTCTAAATCAAGTGGCTTCTATAAATCACCAATTTTCTGTCAATAATGAAGTCAGTGCTGTTTGGCATTCTTAAATATCTCAGTTTGCAGTAGAAATTCAATTCTGAGAATTATTTTTAGGCATGTTTCCTCCTTATATATAAGCACGTGCCTCTTTTTGTTGCCATCTGCCTTCTCTTATCTCTTCATCTGTTCTTTGTATCCGCTGTTTTTTAACAAAGGTGTCAAACAGGAAACCTGAAAGAACTTCTGACCTAGTAAATTCTATTTGTGTTAAAATACTCTATGGCCTGCTGTTACTTAAACTTTTTCCTAAATAAATGCTATCCTAAAAAGTGATGCCCTGGTTTTTCACTCTGACACCTATGACATTTTAGTTTCACCTTGTGCGTTCATTAACAGTTCATTACTATAACATGATTATGTTGGGCTTCACAGGGTAATAACCTCCGACTGTAACTTGAAGCAATGCAAAGGAGTCACTCGTCAGTTTAAAAAAATATTTATTGAAATTGTATAAAAATAGGTTCTAACATAATTTACAATTCTAATTTGAATTAATGACAAAACAACAATCCGAGCCACATTCATGAAACCAGAAGAGTTCTCATTTTCACCCCTCTCTCTCACACTCACACACACACTCAGAACTCACTTGCTCACACAGCAGACAACAGCGTAACAAAACCAGTTACCATCAGTAGATGTTCAATATTTACATACATTAGGATGGAAGTACTTTTGGGACTATGTACAAGTTATTTACATTATAGACAAACAAACACACACATCTGCTCTTTTAAAATTTCAAGCCATAAATATGGTCAAAGAAATCCATTTCATCTGTTGCTTTTAAATAATCTGTGGGACCCTCAGTGACTGTGGAATGAAATACGTTTGTAGAGCCGAAATTCTCTCATAAATAAATAAATAAATTCTGCATTCACTGAGTTTGAAAAGAAGTCGCAGCAATAATAAATATTATTATTATTTACAATTCTTGTCCCCAATGAATTGAGACCTGTATGAGGCACTGTTTAAACATATAAAAAAATAAAAATAATTAAGTGAAGAGCAGAGGGTGTTGTATTTCAGTGTGGTTAAGTTTGCATTGTGGTGTGCATTCGTGTGAACGAGCGTTCGCCTAAGCCTTGTGTTTGTATACAGTACAACACGAGAAGAGGAAGTGGAGGTTGTAGAGTAGAGGTGGATGCTGTAGTAAACAGAGTGAGGTAAGTCCAGTGATTCTATTTTTTTGTTTTTTTATGATTTGTTTGCACAGGTTGCTGCCAGAGCTACGAGGTCGCCTGGTTGCTAATGACATTGGAGTTGCAGAAGTAGTGGTTGTAAATGGCATAGGCTTTACTGATCTAGGCCCATGAGAGGAAACAAACAGAAACAAACAATGTAAAGCCTTGTACAGAGTAAGGAGCAAAATGGCCGTCGACGTGGAGAGCCCTTTTGCTCTCACAATTTCAAGTATTTTCAGGGTCCCCCAACAATCTCACAAAAGGCACTTTTTGAAAATCCTCTTTGCCAACGCCTCTGCTCTTCCCAATCTACTGTGACAGATAGAATAGAGGGAGAGAGCAGAGTACAGTGTAGCGTGAGGTTACATAACTCAGACTGTCCGCTTACATTCAGCAGAACAGCGAGCACATTTGCTGTATGTTCTGACTGCAGGTGTCCGTGCATTCAGAGCACGCCCTCCTACAGACTGCTAAATACCCGTTGCCGAGATCAGAGTCCAGTGAGGATGATGTTCTGACACCGACGCAGGTCAACGACTGGGAAAATCAGGTAGTTCGGGCTGTGAGGGTCTGGCCTGCCGGGCTGAACCAAGGGATAATGGTTTTGTTATTGCCTCGGTCTTCTGCGTGTAGTCCTTTACACCTTGCTCTCGCCTGTTTTGGGACCATCGGCCTGTGCACTGCAGCCCCCCCACACCCTCTCCCCTGCTTCAAGTCTGTTAGATAAGTCTTTTGTAATAGTCTCTTGTGTCAGTGTAGTCCAGTTTGGACCAATGTAGCCAGGAGCGAGCGGTTTGCCTCCGTCACCGAGCCACGGCCACAGGGGTGGATGTGAAGGCTGTGGGCTCGTGGCTGATGCTGTGCAGCCTGATCTCTGTGGTTGTCTTCTCTGTCTGCACTGTGGATGGGATTACAGAGGAGGACGTGCTCTGCATCCACGAGTGGTTGATGATGTCCTCGAAGGATGGACGGTCGGCTGGCCGCAGAGACAGACACCACTTGATCAGCTGTTGGCATTCTGGAGGAGGAAGAAGGGGGGGGGGGCAACCAGTAAGTCTAGAGCAATAAACTGAGCATGAAATATTACACACCTGTGACCAAAAACCTACAACACTGATAGCAATGTGAATTTACCTGTGGAGATTCTCCTCCGGAAGAGGACCTGCCCTCTTGTGATCTCCTCATCGTGTTCAAAAGGGATGTCTCCACACACCATGTCATACAGCAAGATGCCCAGAGACCAAACTGTGGCAGAGCGTCCATGATAGCGATGATATTTGATCCACTCTGGGGGGCTGTACACTCTTGTGCCTGTCAGGTGGGAGGAAATAAACAGAGTCTGTCAAATCGAAAAGGAAAGCACTGGTAAAAATAAGTGGTGAACAAAGAGTGCAGATTTATCAGCTGCAGCTGCTTCTGGGCTCAGGTGCCAGGGAGCATGACAGACTGGTGTTTGTGAGAGAGGGGGAGGAGGGGGGGGAAGTGTGTGGGAGGGTGAGCTGACATGTGACTTTGTTTACAAACTTTGAGTTGTAAAAATGCTGCTTGTTTCCAGTGGGGGGCGCCAAAGCAAGGTCAATGCTGCTCAGACAGTACTGCTAGCTGCTATGAGGGGATGCCAGAAATGACACAACCTCGGAATTTCTACTGGGGTCTGGGGCCACGAATCAAAATACTGAAGAGGTTCCCTGGGCTACTGCAACGACTACTGCGTTTAAAAAGCTCTTACCACTCTATTCTGTCAACAACACCAAAAGACTACAAATGAAAATCATTTTCAAATACATCACCACAGCATGTTTTCACAGTTGATGACTCACCATCAAAGTCTGTGTAAATGGTTTCTTTCAGCAGAGCTCCGGATCCAAAGTCGATGAGCTTTATCTCCCCGGTGCGCAGGTCGATGAGAATGTTCTCGTCTTTAATGTCCCGGTGCACCACGCCGCAGTTGTGGCAGTGCCGCACGGCCTCCAGCACCTGGCGGAAAAAGCTCCGCGCCAGCTCCTCCGGTAAGGCACCTTTCTCCGTGATGAAGTCAAACAGGTCCTTGACGTTTTCGGGTCTCTCCATCACGATGATGAAGCTGTCCGGCCGCTCAAACCAGTCCAGCATCTTGATAACGCCGCGGAAGCCCGTCCCGACTTTCTTCAACAGCACAATCTCCATAGGGACCCGGGAGCCGTTGGGCTGAACACATAATGATAAACATGAGTATTTATTAGGCCTGCATATGCTAAAATAACACACAATTCAAATCAAATATTTGAAATATTTCAATTTAGTGCCTTTCATGGAAGCAATTATGTTGTCGATAATTATAATACACTAATAATAATAATAATTAATAATAATAATAAACTTAATTAGGTCAATTAGGTACATCAACTCTAATTAGAATTATAAAACAGTTGCATAAATCGTTTCTTACCAGCTCGCCCCAGTCGGAGATTCTGTCCTTGGCCACATGTTTGACAGCGACCTAGCAGGGGAAAGAAGAGACGGCGTCAAATGACATGCATAACAGCCCCAAATAAAAAGCAGCTACTTAAAAATATCCTAATATATTTACAGGCAAAGCATACTAACCGGAGCTCCGTCGGATATCCTCGTCCCGGAATAGACGGTGCCGAACCCGCCGCTGCCCAGCACCGCGCCGACCTGATAGAGCTTCTCGAAAGCCTCCCTCTCCTTCACTGCAAAAAAACCCATCAACACAGCCGGTAAATACCAGGGGGGAAAACCAAACTAGTCCCTCTGGAAACACCGGCAGGTACAGCAAAATGACGACAGCATCAAGTTATCACAATGCGGATATTAATAAATGATATTATGGTTTTATCGTGACTGAGCCACGATGAGCGCGCTGCCAGCAATTGCTGCAGCCGCGTCCTCCATGACGCTACAGCGGGAAAAAGGGCGTCTAACCTTGATGAACTTGGTGCTGCATTTTCGCCGGCATGTCTACGGTGGAGATGTGAGCCAGAGAATTGAACTTGGACAGCAGCATTCCTTTGAGGATCTCCACCACAGGTCGATGATGTGCGCGTTCTTCGTTTATTTTTGGTTTATGACGGCAATTTTATTCCGATAGCGCGTCTCTCTGTGTGTCTCTCTCTCTCTCGTGTAGGGTTTCAGGTCCACGTTGCAGGAACAAAAATGCAGTAGGGATCCTCTCTTTCGGGTAGAAGAAAAGCCGCATGTGATCCAGGAAAACAGAGCCAACAATTTCGTCCCGGCGTATGGAAATCTGAGTTCACGTTAAAAACTAACGTGAAACCACGGCTGAAGCCCGCGATGTTTTGTAAACAGTTGAGTAAAATTCACGATATAAACAGAAGTCGGTGTGCTGTGCAATGCCTCCGTCACACAGCGGCTTTGGGAAACAACGAGCTCGAGGGGGGGGGGGCGACAGGGGACGCTTATAAGGCAGTAGTAAGAGGGCGTTACAATATGCTCAGACGTCCCCCCGTTTCACCGCCCCTTTCCGCTCTCTGCACCAATAGGACCGCACAGACGCACTCCAAACGCAGGCAAATCACCGAATCAAAATGAAGCCAACCTCATAACCGGCCGGGCCAGACACAGACGTGGCGGGAATAAAAACGCGCTAAAAGGGGAGGGGGGGAGGGGGGGAGGGGGTGCGACGACTAAAATAATAATTATAAATTCAAGTTGGAGAGAAATGCAAATTCAAAGCCATGTGCTACCCCCGGTCCCCTCCTGAACTGACTAGGCGGGAATAGAAGATAAGAATACACAAATATAAATAAGCCTCAAAAACAGGAGAAGTGAATCAAGTTACCGAAACTGGATGTATTTTCTGCTCTGTTATACCTAAAATGATATACAGTTTCGCCATATCTGAAATCTCTGTTGCTGTGTTTTTTAATTTTCACTCTTCTCTTCTCCCCCTGCTGTGTCTGAATCTGAGAACAGAAACAGACGGTTTCTGTTAGTTGCACTGAAAGAATCCGCGAGGCTTAATAAAGGCATTTTGCAGGAAGAGGCACACAACCTGAGAGCAGTTCATCAATTGCATTCCAGCTATTCTAACCCCCTGCCATTTACCTGATTATTTTCACATTAAACACAGAGGTTTATTGGCTGAAGTGAAGTCCAGGACTATGGTCTTTATTTGAGTTGCCTGACAATGCATCGCAACTGGCTGCGCATCAAAGCGCGCTGGGGAGAATAGGCGCATTCCTCTCATTCTTTCAAATTGGGTGGCCGCCTTTGCAGCCGTTCACAGGATGTGGGAAACTAGAGATAAAAAGACTTCCATTTAGCCCCCCCTCCCCCTCTCCCTCGTCTTCTCTCCACTCCTCCTCTCTCCCCGCCCTCCTTTTCCCGCGCATGTTATTGTCTGAATAGCATGCTCTTTCTCTCTCTCCCCCGACCCATGTTTCGTTTGCCTTTAAAATTTCATGCTAAGTTGTAAACCATCATAATGCTGATATATTGTATTTCACGAACATGTAATGTGACATGTTAAAGTGGAGGAAAAGCAGATTCATAAGGAAGAAATGTTTATTTTTGTCATGAATTATTTTAATGGCCTTGGGGAAGATGCACTAACTACATTTGATAGCCTAATAAAGATTAATCTTGTCCATAATCCAATGTTTTGTTCATTACATGCATGTATAAGTGATCCTTTATTAAAATGCAACTGTGTTGCATGGGCCAACGTGAGGAGATCTGCACACAAGTTTAACACAAACCTACACCATCAGGTCATGAAGTGCTTGAAAATAAGTTGGTGAACTATTTCCAAAACTGTTTGCAGGTCAACCTGGCAGCCTGGAATGAAAATTAGAGCATTGGGGTGTTCATACTTGCTTGGGACGCCTTGGGCAAATTCCTTTAATTCCTCTAAGATGTTTGAAGACAAAATGCAAATTAAGTGCTGACGTATGTAAGTCCTGAGTGCCAGTCATCAATCATCACATTTGAAAGTGTAATAAATAATGGAATAGGGTATTAATATGTAAACAAAGTGCTTAGTCATAAAAAAAAACTGTTTCTTAATTTGTGTTTAGAAGTTAATCAGACTATTTAGTCACTTTTTAGGACTCTCTCTATGCTCTTCATATTTTTGAATATTAAAGCTGAATATGTGAAACATATTGTTTAGTTCCAGAAGTAGTTTAAGCATCCTTTCTGAAAGGTCCAGAGAGGAGTGTACGTTGAGTTCATGCTCAATCAGGGAGATTGGAGAGGTGTGTGAAAACGGAGCGGTCCAAAGCAATGGGTGCGACAGTGACCGCAGGCCTATGAAATGGCAGCAGTGAGCGCATCTCTCTGGAGCTGCAGATATCTCTGCCTGCATGATCAGCAGGGCTCAAATGACCAGCCATTTAACCTCATCTGTCAGAAGGACAGATTGTTACTTGCACTGCTCGGTGTGGGGCCAGCTGCTCAGTCCAATCTTTGGAAGTCTCAGTTTTCCCCTGAGGTGAGGGAAAAGGTTCTAACTGTAAAGCAGGACATCCCAGTTTTTATGTCAATGATCACCAAATGGATTTACAGTCACCCATGTAGCCCCATGTCTGATGAGCTTTTGTCACAGTCACTCAAGTTGTTGCCACCGTTTTCTTATGGGGTTTTTTTTGTTTGTTTTTTGCATTTCGGTCCTGAAATGCACATTGACACTTCAGAGACCACAAAGGAAAATAGCACCGTCGCAAAATATTTTGCTTACATAATTCTTCTATGAATTACTTCCTCTTTCTAGATAAATACAAACCCTGACCACAGGAAGGTTTCACAACACCAAAATATATTTCTCCATGTAGAATGTTCAACTATAATCAATATGTGCACAATCCATACATTATTTTTCTTAATTAGAGACATTTTTTCATTCAGAATATTTTTTTTTTTTTAAATTTTGATATTAATACTGACACTAACTGTTACTTTTTATGGCCTACGTATTGGAGCGATAAAACGCTATGCTTCTATGTAATGTTTGTTAATACTGATGGGCTGTAAATAGTCTCTGTTCATTTCAACAACACAAATCTGATGGTTGAATAAATTGTGACTTTAGCACACATGCACATTCCAAGTAGCACATTTCCACATGATCTTGATAGTCTCAATTGGTTTCCTTTTTGTGCAACATTATGTCTTATGTTGCAAAGTGCAGCTGCCCATAAACTCCACCTGAGCGTTCAGTACACCCTTGACATGGTCCTCCACCTTTACACTTCATCACAAACTTATTATACTTCCTATGTAATATATTAACAAAGTGCACATTTTCTTCTTCAGGAAATGATTCACTTTCCCCAGTGTGACCTCACAGATTCTGTTAAACACTTCCACTGTCTTTTTGCTTCTCTGCCTCTATCCTGCACTCTATTCTGTCTTCCTGGATGTCGTAAAAGGCTCAGTCACTTCTCTGTACTTTAAACACTTGTTCATCCATCAGTCACAATGGTCAGCCAATCACATCTCCAGCTGTCCTCAGATCCCACCTGCTGCCACTCTGTAAGGGGCAGGGAAAATTATTATAGAGGTGGACAAGACATGTGTGGGCTAACGCACGTTATTTGATGGCCGTCAATACCCCCAGTGGATTGAACAATGGATAATGGAGAGAACATGGAAATGTCATGGAGTAGTGCATTACACGGACACACATGCACACAGCATATGGAAGGGTCTATTATGATAAATGTTTTGTATTTTGTGCATTAAATACCTCTATGGAAATGAGACTTGTAACTATTATAAATAACTGTTGTTGCTAGTTCACGTAAAAGCTCGCTGGCCATTCTTTAAACACACACAGTAATAACTGTGTTAAGGGTTAATGGACTTTCTCAGTAATGTCCCCTCCATAATGTCCCCTTCACAGACAACCTTGTCATTGTCATTCATGACGGTAACGTTAGAGCATCCATCGCCGCAGCTATATAAATGTAACCAACTAAAAGATAATTGTAATCATAATTGCCTAAAGCAGGGTGAGCCCTAAAATGGATTGGAATATTCAACTATAATGATCGTAATGCAGATAAATTAGGTTCTCCTAATGGAGGTTTGAATGACACATTTCATAGCAGTAATTCGAATTCATACATGCATCAGGATTACTATGCATATGTAACAACATATACATGGACTTTTAATAGAAATATGATCTACTAAATAGGCTACATTCTTAATAATATAGCTTTTATGTCTCTGAAAACACTATTTTAACACAGCGCTTAGCACTCTAATTGTAATTTGACAACCTGTCATCCTGGACGGGCCGAACGGGCTGCAGAAATGGAACGAAGCCAGGTGTCTCATGGTGTTGGGTATGCCTTGACAGTGATTGACAAAGATTACCCCATAATTAGAGGAGGGTCGTAATATGGCCCTGCAGCTCAGCAGGAGGAGCAGCCTCACTCCCCTCAGACAGACAAAACCTGCCCATGTGAGTTATGTTGATTGGTTTGCCAGACAATGAGGCCTTCAGGTTTATAATTTCTTATTACTTTAGACTCAATGGTCAGGAATAATAATAATGATTGATAATAATAATGGATTAATGCAGGCTTATAAATGTGACGAGAAATACGTTTTGAAACAAGCAGTTGAACCTGCTCTGGTCCCCTGTAGATGCGAGCACTTACTGATTGTCACCTCACCCAGCCCCTGATCTCACTGTTTAAACATGTCTGAGGAGAAAGTTATGGTTGTCAGCTGCCCACTCTGAGATCACGGGACCTGGAAGTCGCTAACCCGACCACCAAACACTGATACACACTTAACACACACATACACAAATAAACATGAACCCTGAAACACTATATGTTATGCTTCCAATTTAATGCCTTTAAACTAACTCTTCCCAAATAAGGACAACATCAGCATGTGTGAAAGATTGTGTGAGTGTGGGGGGGGGGGGGGGCACATTAAGGAGGGTGAATTATTTTTAGAGGTGTCTGAAAGGGAGAAGGAATAGCTGTGCTGTGGGTAACCTCCGGTGTGGCCTGACCTCTCCTCAGGTAGCCTCTTAACCCCTCCTCTCCTCCGGTCCTGAGAGATCTTTACTGGTGGAGCCATGGGAAAGGGCTGCAATGGACTTCAAAGGCAGGCCTATGTGGGAAAGCACCACAGAGGACCGGTAGAGTGACCTAAAGGTCACCATGGGTCAATTTTCATGTCAGCACAGGCCTGGTTTGTGGTCAGAGGTTATTGGCATACCTGTCCAGCGCCACTCAATCTGTTCTTCCAGAATTTATCCTCACTTGTCTCAATTAGGGTTTCAGCTATGAAGGGCCTATGTAAGGTTTGTTTATGTCTATTGTTGTGTTTAAGGAGGAGGGTATAATTTGCGTGTAAAAAGGACAGAATGCTTGTGGTTCCAATAATAGGACTGTT